AGAAGCCCCCCAGGAGCCCCCGAGGAAACGGAGAGCAGATGGCAGGGGCACAAAAAATGGGGCCTTCTGTCTTCTTGAAACAGAATCTGCCCCCCCCCACCCATGCATCCATTAACATTTTGTTCAGAGGGTCTGTGTACATGATTTACTCCAACCTTCTTCCCTGTGAATTGCTAACAAACCCCCTTTGTTTTTTGTTCCCCAGATTTTTGAGCAGGTAACAGAATCCAGTGGGAGCGGGTCCTGCGAGAGCCCTGCTATTCACCTCTGTGGGACGTATCCCCCTTCCCCGGCCTGCAGCTCTCCTGTTTCTCACGGAAGACAGGGTATCGATAAAACCGGGAGCTGTTGCTCTGAGCTCGCACGCTGAGCCCAGCGCTGCAAGGCAGAGCCCTGCTCCTACGCAAGCCAACCCCCCTTTTTGAGCAGTGAATCGCACAGAACGGGGGGCTGCCGCTGCTACCCCCGGCTGGGAGAGCCCGTGCCCTCATTCAGCCACGCTTGGGATGCTGGTGTTAAAGAGTCACCACTGCGAACACAAATCCACGCAGGAAAGTGCCTTCAGCGAGCCAGGGCTCCGTGCAAAGCCCAATTCATCACCCCCGTCCGCTCAGCCGCCCCAGGGAACGGCCGCAGCAGCTGCTCACCCTCTGCTCGGACGTGTTGAGAGATGTCTGCAGGGTCTGGAGGTCCCAGGCGTCCATCCTCCTCAGGTAGCACGCTCGCTGCTCCACAGGTTTGTAGCACACGTAGCCCTGCGAGACGGATTGTGCCCTGTGAGAGCAGGCAGCGGCACGCACCCGCAGCTCTCTTAAGAGCCCAAAAAACGGACATTCCTCCTTCTGTCCTGCGTTATCTTTCCTAACCAAAGGTGCGGAGAAAGGCACCAAACAGTAGCTGGTTGATGTTTTCCCTGGTCTACACCTCCTGCCCCCACCCCAGCAGCTCTTCCCTCAGCAGCCTGGGTTCCTCTGCTCGCTTCCAGGCTAGCGAAGCAGGTTAATTATCCCAACACACTTACGTTCCTGCTGTCATACAGCACCACGGCGGTGTGGTTACTCTGCGAGGTTACGTAGTAGGTCACGGTGCTCCTGGACTTGTCCACCAAGGCTGTCTGATTCCTCAGCGGGTCTTGCTGGCCCTGGAGCGTTAGCCGGACGAGCTGAGAGCCAGCCTGGGCCCAAAGAGAGGGAGGGCAGCACCAACCATCTCCCCGCCGACATCCCCCCTCGGACCCTTCGCTGGTCCCTGTTGCTTGTCTGAATTATTTAGCGACAGCAGCAAGCTCTGACCCACGGGAGGGGAGCAGATCTGGGAAGCAGACCGCTCTCCGTCACCCAGGGCTGGGGGAGAGGTGCCGGTGCCCCTCACACCGAAGGCACCCACCCTGCCGGGCAACAGGGTGCTGGAGGAAAGGGCCAGGGGACTCGCCAGCCTCTGCCACGGCTGCGCACGGGGGGAGGCTGGGATCTGCCTCCCCGGCCCGCACGGCTCGCTCG